GAGCTTACCTGAACAATCGTGTTTGAAGCACCCCACAACGACAAGGACAACTCAAAAGTATATGTGCTACTCCAAATACCAATGATTGCTTGCCTTGCATTTTTACAGCATGACATTTGCACTGCAATTACAATATTTGCATATGTTTCAAAGACAACCTCCAATCATGTCAACATTGAGGGTAAATTGAAAGATCATCGCATCACATGATTTACCGGTCACAGGACAACGATCTTCATGCCTTTGTAGTAATTCGAGTACTAAGAGCAATGCAATTCTAAGCTGGCCCAATAACAAGTGGCAACATTTCAGCTTGCACAATAAAAAAGGTTGGTGCCGTTCGATTATGCCGCTGGTTCTGTCCAACCATCGCAGAGAAAGGTGTGTTGCTACCTTCAAAATTGCTTACACATGCACAAACTTTAATGCACGTTTTTTGCAAAAAGGTTCCTCAACTGGTTTATCAAGTCGTCTCGATTCAAGGATGCGAAGCAGCGATCCTGCACTGACCTGTTTAGACCTTCAAAATTGGCTGTGCCTTACTAATTCCTTTGAAATCAATATTATAGTTACGATGATCTCTATGCAAACAAGAATGTGGTGCATTGACAACCTTGCTGTGCACACTAAAAATTGCCGAATGCGCCCCAAAAATAATAAGGATAATGAAAATATTGCAACATGGGCACTGAGTTAGACCACCAAAAAATCAATGACAGTTTCACAAGAAAATATGGCTTTTCATTGGCTCTATCCAAAAATCAGGTACATCTGCAATCTACAAAGCGGCACCATGCCAAAGGAAACTGGTGGGTCATCTTGGTTGGCTGGAGACCAGGCAAAGGCACATAAAGAGTTACACAACCTAAGCAACCAGCCAAACACTTTTTTGGAGGCGATAATTATATTATTACCACGAGAAACAAAAACAAGAAACTGAGGATTCATGCCATAGACGGGGTTTGCTGAGCACCAGCCGAGCGTGCAGTTGAGTAGAATAGAACGCAGATGGAATTGGACAGGTCCGAGTTAAAGGCATGATAATTGAAGGCTAGAGATACCGGCTTAGCATCTATGCCAGAATCATACACGATGGCCAAACACTTTATAAAAAAACCCATAGAAAAAAGGCTTTGCAGATTGGATATTATAATATGTAGCAGCTAAGCGAAAGTAATGAGGCTTCTTATAAAGAGCACCCACGTTGCATAATTTGTTGCTAGACAAAAACACCATCCACAGCGCATTACAACAGCAAAGTTTCTTATCAATCTTACACTTATTTCCTAGGGAAAACTACTATATCAGATTAAAAACTTACTAACAAACCATGCAAATATCGCCTTAGGCTTTAGAAAAAAAAAAAAAAAAAGAAGATTGAAAAGCTGAAGTCGCCAATTTAGTTAGGATTGTTCAGATCTCAAAATAACGCGATGGAAGCGATAGCTGTGGGAAAAGTTGCTAAAAAAAATGATCGACAGAATCCAACCATAGACAATGCAAAACAAAAAGATGCTTCCCGACCGGGAATCGAACCCGGGTTTCCAACGTGACAGGCTGACGTAATGACCACTATACCATCGAGAATGCCTGTTGAGCTGACTGAACCGCCCATTTCTGAATGAGAAATTTAGCTACTATAGACAAATTATGTACTATTATTATTATTGTGCAGCCTTTTTATTGGGTCAAAATACTGCTTCAAGACAGTCTACTCTTTTCTATTAACGCTAATAAAGCTTTAAAATGTTTATTCATGTATAGGTTCTCTAATCTGTCTAATGAATCTATTCAGTAACGTCTATGTCTATGTCTAGTGTATGCTATGCTGTGGTGTTCGTCATGCCAGGCAAATGGTATTTACTAAACCAGGCATCGACCAGTTATCCAATGACATTGGCATTGTTGTAGCTGTTGAAGTTGCCTTTAGCAGTAGTTGCATCCTTGTCATTGACATACATGGTATCATCATTGTAGTGCGCAAAGTTGCTATTGGCATTAAAGGCATTGGTAAAGCTGCTTGCAAAGGGAAAGCCAATGCCATATCCGTAGCCAAAACTGCCATAAGGATAGGCACCACCACCTGAATAGAATCCGCCATAGGGATACCCGCTGCTGTAAGGGTAGGTACTGCCATACACACCAACGCTACCATCTCCACGACGCTGGTGCACATGAGGGGCAGCTGAAGGCACAGCATTGGCAGTTAGCGCAAAGCTAGAGATGGCAGCAACAACAGCTGCAACAATGGAGATGCTGCTGAAAGTATAAATCATATTGAGTCAAGTGAGTTAATGTAGGCGTTGTTATAAACTTGTGCTATTGTTAAGCTGAGCGTTGACTGGTCCAAAGGAATGTATTGAATGTGTTTGTGTATTGATGAGTTGAAAATATAAATGTTTCGCACTCGTTTTTGTCACCTTTTATACTATGTTGTAAAATGCGCGGCGCAGACTTAGTAGCTATTACCAATACGCAGCGTTTCTGGTGTTCAACTCTCTATTGCTACCACTATTTTAAGATGGATCTGTAGATTTAACCAAGTATCAGACAGGAAAAACAGATGTATCTTTGAGTATGAACAGCCATGTTATATGCAGGTACACATATTACTTCTACAGCTAAACCTGTTGAATAATCATTATGCCGTCAAATATTGGCAAAATTACTTGTGTAGTGCGTGGATCCTCTGCTACATGTCGATTGAATTGGTTGATCTTTTGTGCAATTCGTGACAGTTTGTTATTCCTTTGGCCTTCTGGATTATTAAGCAGCCTTAAGTTGGTACTGTCGCGCAGATTGCTCTGCTCAGACACGAGCCCATGGAATAGCACATTGTCTACTATTATCTGCCCGTTATCTTGCAACAACCCCCGGTCAATGATCGCGTCGTAATAACTTTTGTAGGCAGACTTGTTGGCATCGATAAACACCAGATCAATTTTCTTGTTTGCATCCCACTTTTCTAATACCGAATCTGCCGACTGCTGCATAACAGTGAC